TTCTTCTCTTTTCTTTCTTTCTTCTCTCTTCTTCCTCCATTGAGAGCCCCAGACCCCCCAGCCCGTTGCTTGCCGGAAAAGGTACTTGACTTCTTCCCTCTTCTTCCCCGGCCCTCCTTTTTGTTAAACCCATCCCCTATATCAACCCCCTTCCCTCACCCCTTCATTTTACCCAACCCCGCCCCCACTCCCACTGTCGTCCCCATCTTGTTATAGAAGACTATAGTATTTTAGAATTTATTTAGGAATCTAATTTTTTTGTTGAAAATACATCATGAAAATCACATTAGGAATTCATAGAAAATCACATTTCAAGAATTTACATTAGAAATCTTGCCTACAAGTTTTAGATACTTTTTAGTTCTCTAATTCAATTAAATTTGATACTAGTTTAGAATTTTCATAGATGTTTATTTAGAATTGCCATAGATTTATTTTTAGAATTGTCATAGATGTAATAATATTTAAGTTTGAAACTAAATTCACTTTTGAAATTGAGGTTAGTACCTATATGTGATTTTAACAATTCCGAAGTTTATGTATATGCGGAATTGTTAACTTTAGAGAAGAATGATTTAGAATTATATCAAGTAGTTATAATTTAAAGCCTTAGTTTTAAGTTTAAGAAGTTAAGCTTATTATCGCTTCCTAATTTATTAAATGGACAATATTAAATTTAAAACTTAATAATTGCTACATTAAAGGAATTTATAGATTTGACAAATTATTGGCCATGTGTGGTCTTTATGAACGTATAAGAAGCTATTTAAATTTAATTTATATTTTGAAAAATTTATATAACATAAAATAGGGATAAATATAAGATTTGGAGTGTTAATGAATTTTAATTTAAAAGAATATAATACGTTAAAAAATTGAACCTTCGAATTGGCGTAACCTATTAATTACTTTAAATAAACTAAATACATCGCTAGCATTGTGGTTCATCTTTTGTTCCTCATACATCCCCCACTCAATTATCATCTCCAGCATCATCCACTCCAAGTATATCTAAATTGGATATTGGAGGATCTCACGCAGCCGCATCCCCATCTACCAGTACTTCTACAGTTGCTGGTACCGTGAGACAGTATACTGGAGGGACTGTACAATACGATCATCTTCATCGGCTGGTTATCGTTCCCCATGGCAACGAGTGAGTTTTCCTTCAATTTCTTTTTAAAAACTTTCAATGAAATTTTGCATATAATGAATCTAATGACATTTTATATATTAAATTAAATGCAGGTTTTTGCCATCCTATCAGGCCGCGCATTGAAATACTACAAAATCGACCCCATTGGTCTCAACTATACCCATGTTCCGCAGCACCTCATGGCAATGGTCTAGAAAATCCTGTAGGTCCTTAGAAGATGCACCACTAAAATGAACAAGAAAGAGCTTGGTGAACTTATCTAACCTCAACATAGCCTCAGAAGATAAAGCAGGCCTATCACCAGCCTGTGCCATAACAACCGGCTGAACTTCCCTAACCGGCAGTGCTGCAGGAGTCAGAAACTGGGGACCCACCTGCTCCAGAGTGTAAGTAGCGGGAGTTTGTGCTCCTCCCCCAGCCCGAGAGACGGCCGGTGCCACCGGGAAAGTACCGATTTGGGCCACACGCTCCATAATGCCCACCAAACGGACCAGAGCATCCGAAAGCACTGGAGTGGCTATGAACCCCTCCGGGACCTGAGTTGGTCCAACATGTACAACCTGAGCTGGGACCTCCCCATCAAAATCTACCTGAGGCTCCACTGTTGGTGGTGCTGCTCGAGCTCTAGGCCGAGCTCTGTCTCTTCCTCGGCCTCTTCCATGACCTTGGCCTCGAGCTCTAACCCTAGTCGTAGCTGCCATAGGGGGCTCCGGCTCCTGTCCAGCGGTAGATGCAGTTCGTGTACTCGCCATCTACGAGAGAACAAGAATAGAAGGGTTCAATTATCAATGATAGAATAAAATCGCACGACAGAGTAAGAAAGAAGTGATATTTTTCCTAAACTCCATATCTTATGGAAGATAAGTACAGATGTCTCCGTACCGATCCTCCGGACTCTACTAAGCCTGCTCGTGACTCGTGAGACCTAGGCAACCTAGTGCTCTGATACTAACTTGTCACGATCCAGAAAATCTACCCTCGGGACCGTGATGACGCTTAACATTTTACTTGCTCTGTAAGTCAATGTTAGAATAGTTTATCCATTTTAACATTTCAAATTAAATAATAATATAAAAACCAAAATAGCTGAAATAAATGGTGAAGTAAGGTGCGGAAAAACCATAAAATGTGAAAAATCTAATACAGTCCGAATATGGTGTCACAAGTGCATGAGCTCCTAAAAGTTCTACAAATCTGAAATAAATACAATTATTTCGAATAAAATGAACAGTAAAGGAGGAAAGAGGAAGGGGACTTCAAGGTCTGCGGACGTCGGCAGATCTACCTCAACTCTCTGAATAATAATCCGAGCTAGTTCACTTCACTTATAGCTAGGTCTAATACCAAAATCTGCACAAGAAGTGCAGAGTGTAGTATGAGTACAACCAACCCAATGTACTCCGTAAGTATCGAGCCTAACCTTGACGAGGTAGTGACACGGCTATGAAAGGACATTCACATAATTAAACTTGTACAAACATAGATTTATGTACCAAACGTCAACAAAATGGAGACTTAATATGTATAGTTGGGAGGGGACATGCGAAAGGGGAAAAAAAGATACGATAAATACAACAAGAAGGATAACACAGATGGTCAAATAAATCATCAACCAAAGAGGACAAATAACATACGATATGAAAATGGTACGACATCACCCTTAGTTCTTTACTCTCATCCTTACCATAAACTGATGTCATAAGAGAAATGAAATGGCACGGGATCACCATTCGTGCTTTTACTCTCGTCCTGACCATGTAACAATGAATAACTGATACAGATTGGCACGACATCACCCTTCGGGCTTTAACTCTCTTCCTTACCATGTATTAATCATTAATTAAGGTAATGAAATGGCACGACATCACCCTTCGTGCTTTGACACTCTCCCTTACCATGTCGTGATGAATGCACAAATTTGATAAATAAATAATGCAAGGGATGTACTTTACGTCAATTATGATTCTAAGATACCAAACCTCAACTTCCACATACTCAACCATTACCAATTATTCCATCAATCTGGAAACAACGATCAAATAAGCAATAATTTAATCTAAGCATGAATGTCATAATTAAAGAGGCAATAAATAACAAGGAAACAAGTTTTACCCGCATGTTTTAACCCAACAACAACGCATAATTATCCGTCACCTCACATATACGTTGTACCCACACATTAAACAAGTAGCAAATAGATAAACAAGTCTTAATCCCTCAAGTCAAGATTAACCATGACACTTACCTCGCTCCGCAACCAATTCAAAGTTCAACTATGGCCTTGCCTTTCGAACAAGCCTCCGAACCAACCAAATCTAGCAAATAATCAACCAAATGATTCAAAATAAGCATTAGAAACTAGCCACAAATGCAAGAGGTTCATTTAGATCATTATTGAAAAAGTCAACAAAAGTCAACCCCCGAACTTGCTTTGTCTAAACTCGAGGTTTAGACCAAAACTTGATCACCCATTCACCCCCGAATCCGGTTATGTAGTTCAATTCGAAATCCGACCTTAGTTCAAGATCTAAATTCTAATTTTACAAAAATTTCAAATTCTACCCAAATCTCTAATTTCTACCATGGATTTCTAGATTTAAGGTTGAAATCTTATGAAATGTTATGGGTAATTGAAAGAAAGTAGATTAGAGTCACTTACCAATGCATTTAGGAAGACAAGCTCTTGGGAAAATCATCTCTAAAGTGTTTAGGGTTGAGAATTTTATAGAATGAGCCAAAATCTCATTTTTCTGAACTTTTGTCTAGGCGCAGATATCGCAATTGTAAATCCCGCAAATGTGAAGAATCTCACATATCTGCTATCATCGCATTTGCGATGATTTGTTCGCAAATGCGAACTCTGGGACTCTGCAAATGCGACCTTTTGATCGCAAATGCGATCTATTGCTTACCCATCCCCTATTCGTAAATACGAAGAATTAGTTCGCAAATACTTACCTAACAGGAATTTGAATGTTTGCAAATGCGAACACTGGCCTCACAATTGCAAGATGAGAGACTTGCATCAGAACCAGATGCACCGGTTATTTTTCCTAAATCCAAAATCACTTCGAAACCTATCCAAAACTCACCCGAGCCCTCGGGACTCCCAACCAAACATGCACACAAGTCCTATAACATCATGCGAACTTGCTCGCGCAATCAAAGTGTCAAAATAATACCTGAAACTACGAAACAGACACCAAAACGAATGAAATTTTCAATGAAGCTTAAGAACTTTAAATATTTCAAGCGGATATCCGAATTATGTCAAATTAACTCCGTTTTGAACAAAATTTGCAGACATGTCATGAATACAGTAATAAACCTATACCAAGTCTCGGAATCAAAATTCGGACCCGGTAGCAACAAAGTCAAATTTCGGTCGAATTTATTAATTCTTTAAACCCTTAAGCCTCTAGTTTTCCATAAATTGCGATAATTCGAGTTAGGGACTTTCAAGTTCGATTCCAGGTATACGCCCAAGTCTCAAATAACGATACGGACCCACCGAAATCGTAAAAATATTGATCCGGGTTCGTTTGCTTAAAACGTTGACCGAAATCAACTCAAATGAGTTTTAGGGCACGATTTCACATTTTATCAAATTTTCAAGTAAAAACCTTTCGGAAAAAGACACAGACTTTGCACGTAAATCGAAGAAGGCTAAACGGATCTAATCGAGGTTTCAAAAAATAGAATTTAAGGTTAAAACTGTAAATGATCTATCGGGTCATCACAGAGGAAAACCGTGCGGACTTAGTACAAAACAGATAATATCACACCATGTTAAGAGTATCTTTAGGTCGATTCAGCCCAATAGCTAATATCAGAGCCTATGGTTTGACGGAACAAGTATGGAGATAGCAGAGTGTTGCGTGGGGGGTCGGTTTAGTGCCTTTGCCTGTCTATGAGCCGGTTTACTACCTTTACCTGTAGCTTCAAATACGCATGGGCTTCGGTCACTATAAATACTCGGATCATGTGGATTG